TCCCGAAGAGTTTAGTATGTACAACCTGCGGTCTTGAACATGGTGCAAAGAATAAAATCTGGTTGGTGGTTTCAACCCCTCTGAAAAATATGAAAGTCAGTTGGGATGACTATTCCCAGCATATGGAAAAATAATAAATGTTCCAAACCAGAAATTACCTTCACATGACTGACTTGCAAGTTTTTTTGGTAAACCCCTCATGCAACCAAAAAATCCAGACACCAAAATTCATGTCGCACAAACACCACTAGCACCAGCTTAGTGAACCCCTTGGTGCTTCCCAATATTGCATGCACGTTCCACAAAGAATCTTCCACCAAATTTGCCGACAAAAAAAATCAAGACACAAATCGATTGCCCATCAGATCAGTTAAATATCAGTGCAATATTTATGTGTGTATATATATATGTCTATGTTTATGTATATGTCATATCAACTATTTTCTACACAAATTAACCTGGTTGGTGGTTTTAACCATCTTGAAAAATATGAGTTCATCAATGGGACGGATTATGCCCGTATATGAAATGGAAAATAAAAAATGTTTGAAACCACCAACATTCCCCCGTTTGGGACGCCGACTGCTGATTCATCATCATCTGGTCCATCTCCTGCAGGGAACATGATCCATCTATGGCATTACATGGCGTATATATATATGTATATTCTATAAATATATATGTCTACCGTATATATAATATATAATAATATATATATAATATAATAATATATATATATATAATATATAATAATATATATATATACATACATGAATAAGATAAATTTAGATATTGCCTGATCCAACAAAATGGGTAATTACAGCATTACTCACACTTCATTCAGCATTGAGATTGTGGAATTGTCATTGATACGTTCCTCACTTGCTGTTAAGACAAGTGGAGGAATGGTGGTATGTCGGTACAAAATGGTACAAACATGTTCCACAGCAAATCTAGCAATTCCACTTCTCACCTCGGTCACTGCTCCTATCAAATCTAGCTGCTAGTTTCAACTGGTACAGTCATCCACCACAATGGCGCCACCCCACCAGAAATCACTGCAGTCGCCTCCATCATCTGATTCATCTGTCCAAACATGGAGCCGAAAAAAACCCCAAAGCCCCCGAAGCCGCCTCAGGGGAAGTTGAGGCACCCCAAAAACAAATCAGCAGGCAAAAACGGCTAACTCTTGTACCAAATAATATGTGGTTTCATCATGTTTCATCCTTACATCCACCATCATCCACCATCCACCATGGTTTCTAGGGGGGTGATCATCCCATGCTGTCCGCAGTAATAAGTGACCGACCTGGCCGACCACCAAAGGGCATCATCATGTCGTCCATGCCAAACCTAAGCCGCTAACGGGACGGAAGGTTTGATGATTTCGTGGCATTTCGTGGCTACGCATGGGTGATAGTTTCGGAAACAAGGCCATCAGTTGGTATCAACTGTTACATATTTTTTGATTGGTCACTTCAACCCACGCAGAAAGATATGCAAACACTATATCATGTTGTCGGGAACCGGATAAATTACACTTGACACTGCCCACCAATGTGCCTAAAGGGCTGATTGCCGTTTTTCAGGGCTCATGCGCTGCAACGACGTTGTGCCACTACAGTAGGCGACAGGGATTACCAAGTAGACTGCGTCAAACAACCCAAATTTGACACACATTGAACTGGAAAGCAAAAACATCGTCAATATTCTTCGGTCAATATTGATTGTCAGTCATGTTCTCGACCTCGAAACAAAAAAACATATTTGAACATATTATGAAACCTGAGTTCTTTCATATTGCTGGGATGGACACCATGCTTCCCATGCGTTTCCACCTCTGAGGCCCACACGGATCCCGCTGGAAGGTTTGAATCTGCGCGTGCGATGGAAACTCCACCAATTGCAAATGGAAAAACAATGGGAATTTGATCTGAATTGAATGTGCCAAGCAAAAAGCTTGCGACTAAACATCTCCAAAATGTATAGAATCCACATGTTGCCAAATTTCTTTTGGAAAATGGAATTCTCCAGCTTGGAAGGTTTGTTTTGTCATTGACACCTTTCACCACATTGAGGTTTTAAGATCGCAGCGGTCTTCTTCTGGGTTTCGTGTTTGTCATTGTTTTTTCCATGTCTTTCTCGCCATTTGAAGATAGAAACAAACAAACCAATCCGCGGCCAGGTAGTTTGGTCTGCCACCTGCACCCCGTGATCATGTCAGCTGTTCCTTGGCCTGGCGGTCTGCAGGTCTTGACCTTGGAGTGCGGTCAATGAACTCCAATCTTCGGCCAAAGACCATGATTCGTTGGCCCAAAAAGAGCCCGGTTCCCGAAGGCATGTCGAAGCATAAACGAAGGATGTGGGATTGTCAAAATGAAGCCAGCAGCAATCAAACCCAGTATCCCAGCTTCGATCAAACCCAGTGTCCCAGCTTCGTTCATTTTAAGGCGCTTCTAGTTTCCGCCTGCTGTTCCGTTAACATCCCTCCCCCTCTGGGGCGCAAGCTGTCCGAACATGACTTCGGGCCCGTTGCGCCCCAATGAGTTGCTGCAACTGGGCGGGGGGGCCAGTGGCGCGATGGGCGAAGCTTGCCGTCGTCTGGCTCGAATGAAAACTGCTTCCAACCCCTGGACGGAGCTGCCGGAAACAACAAGTGCATGAGATGATGCCGAATGATGCCTTTGCCATCGACTTTGCGCCGCAGTAAGGTCATGCCTTCGTTGATTGTGGCAACGTGTGGCACAAAAAGAAACGTCCTTTTGGGAGCGAGGACCCTAGTTTCCTGAAAATGTTCTCGAAAAAACGAGAGTATTGAAAGCTCAGAAAGTTGTCGGCTTCAACCCATTCCAGGAAAAACTTATCAAAGTGGTGTTAACCACGCCAAGAATCAATAAGTAGATCGGACGTTTGCTCTTGAAGGATGGATTTAAACCAGTACCACATGCCCTGACACATCATATCTATATGTTTCAAACAAGAAATTGATGATTCTGCCATCAAAGATGGGGATGAACAGAATCCATAAGAATCCAACATTGAAAGAAATCATGTAACGTCGCTGCTTGGCGATCCAACGGTTGGATTATCTGGCCGGATCTATGTTGGGGACTGAAAAAAAAATCTGTGCTAAACCCAAGAATAAATCATCCGAATGTTGGAGCTTTAGGCTATTCTACCCATATTTTGGATGATTTAACGTGAGCTAGTAACAATACATATCCAATTAAATATCATGTTCATTCAGCCTTTCTTGCGACCTACCAGTACAAATCTTCAACAACCCCTGTAAAACTGCTGGAGTGTCACTTATCTGGTGCAGGACCTAGGGATTTCGACAGACTCTGTCATCCCCATGAGTTGGGATATGGGGCCCCTAACTCTGGTTATATACCCTCTGGTAAACCAGGTAAACTAACATAGCGAACTGGAAAATCACCATCTTTAATAGGTAAAACAACTATAAATGGGCCATGTTCAATAGCTATGTTAGTGTTTACCAGAGGGTATCCACTACTAAGTGACACATCGCATTTCCAAGCGGCTTTGGCTTTTCATGGATTTTCATGTCTTTAACCGCACTGGGGGTTACGATATCACGATTATTTTTGTTTTGCGTCTTCGAAGATAATTGATTCGCCAAACGACCAAACTCTTGGACCATGACACTTTTGCATGTACCCCTCCGCTAATTAAAGATGGCAATGGCAAATACCCTAGCCTATAAATACTATTTTAATGGGAAAAAACACATGGAACTTACAGTAATGGAATATTTTCCAGAAAGCCATATTTGATTACCAGGGAGTACAAAAAACATATCTTTGTAAACTTCTGATGCTGTCTGAAGTGGTCATCATCTTCCCAGAGTCGTCACTTGCATATCATGGCTATCCGATGGTATCTTGTCCTCCATATTTCTGGTGTTCCCATAAAATTGCTAGAATCAGGCACCAAAAATATCCAGAAAGGCATAGAAATGCCACAGTTACATGGAAATTGCGTACGATAATAGCTTAAACCGGTCCCAAAGGAAGTCTTGAAGTTGCACGCACAACCAACGAAAGTAGGTGGCCTGGCACCCGCATCTTTGGTGGTAGAATCTTCCTGTCCTACCCCGTCTGTCTTCGATGAAGATACTGTACCAATCGAATCAGTGTCAGAATTTCATCAAATGGGTTTGTCTGAAAATAGTGTACCCCTACACCCAATGGTTAATGATCATTATCCCTACTAAATGGCTATAATTCGGAGTATACCCCATTTTCAGACATACCCAAATGTCTACCTGACCACAGGCCCCATCCCATCCCATACCGAACTTGTTGTTCTGCCAACGAGACACCAAGCGAGACACCGACAGCGCAGCGGAACTTAGCGGAAGAATCCAAGCTGAGCCCACCAAGCGCACGGGCACCATGGTCAAGGTATATCATAAAAATCCCATGAAATTTGGGCTATGTCATATGGTTATATGGTTATATGTCATATACAGTAACCCTGCTAGTCGAACATGAAAATCGCTGGGATTTATGGATGTTCATCCCCCAAAAAATTCATTGATCCACAGCCATGAAGGGATGGACCCTTGAATTTTTCGATGACTTCACCGCAGGGATGTGCCAAGTGCGCCAAGGTCAAATCTGTCCGCGAAGCAACGAGGCAACTTGTTTCTCCATGGTGCGATACGGCATCGTAAGAATTCACGGTTTCATAAACGTAACCACAGAATAACACTTTTAAGAGGCCGGAAGCGGCGGAACTTGACCGTGGCACGTTTGGTGACACATGCTTTGTACAATCCAGAGGCGAATTGCTCCGGTAATCAATCCGAGAACACGGACAAAAAGCATTTCAATTTGGGAATGCTGAGGGGTTGATGAAGGGTAATTTTCAGAATTTTCACACCTCAAAGCAATACCTTATTGGCTGTCTATCCTTATATCCCCCATTTTTCATGATTAAATCCGATGAAATCCCCATGTGTGATGGTTTCATGTTGAGTAAAAACCAAAAGAAAATCCGAATATCCCAAGGGGGAACTCCCCTCACGCCGCACTAATTGGTGCCAGTTTGTTCATCATTCCCAGGCTGAAGAGCAGGATGTTTCCTTGCATTGATGGAATTTGGACCTGGAATTTGATGAAGTTCGTGATATGTTCATGGGGATACACTGGGTAAATTTAAACAATACATATACATATATATATATAATTATTTATAATATATATATAATATATATATAATATATATATAATATATGATTATATGTATAAAAGCTATATATCATCTAATGGATATGAGCAAATATTTGGGGTGGGGTTCTCTGGAAACAGGGGATACTGAACCACATGATTTATGGCTATTGAAAAGGGAATCACGATTATCAACCATGAGATTTTGAGTTGACCCTATGTGCAAGAAAAAAAACACATTTCTGGTTGGTGGTTTCAACCTACCATCTTGAAAAATGATGGAGTTAAAGTCAATGGGAAGGATGACATCCCATATAGGAAATGGAAAATAAAAGTCATGTTTGAAACCACCAACCAGGTATATTTACATTTACCCTCTGGTTATTTAACATAGCTATGGAAAATTGCCCATAGAAATAGATGATAAAAAATGATGATCAAGGAATCCCATGGACGAATCAGTTGGGGCACGGTTTTTGACGGTCATGAGGTCACGATGTCCTAAAAATAATCCCCAAGCGTCTGGGCAAATGATCATTGAATATCATTGTCATCCCTAAACTGAACCTATAATGAACACTCTTTCTGCAGTTTTGGGATCGTTTTTATGGATCGTTTTTGTTTTCCCCATTATAATAACATTACTGGTTGGTGGTATACCTACCCCTCTGAAAAATATGAGTTCGTCAGTTGGGATGATGACATTCCCAACTGAATGGAAAGTCATAAAAGTCATGTTCCAAACCACCAGCCAGATTATATATATATATGGGTAGGTTATTGCAAATACAGTTACAATAGGTAATATTAGCCACTATCTTGGATGTCAATCTCACTACCAAATCTTCCCCAGTATATGAGCCATGGTCAATACTCACTATATGGTTGATGGTCATCCCATCCAATAAGGATCCTTATATATAATGGTTATATAATAAATCCCATTAAATCACCATTGGATGACTAGCCCCGTTTTTAATGGTTATTAACCATGAGTATTGACCATAGCTCATATAACATTATAACATTATATCACCATGATTTCCCCAAAAACCCTTCCCAGCCAGGTCGGTCGCAACATCCGCCAAGGGGCAACAAACTCGACAAGTTGCTGTTCACCAAGGCTGCTGCACCAACGATGCGCCCGGGCCTTGGGCGCAAAAAGCGCGAAAGCAGCCATTTTTGGGGATGACTTGCGGATGGTTCATGAGGTTTATGACATTGGGTTTTACCAGATTAAAACTGAAGTTGTTGTTTTAGTTGGGTTGTTTTTGAGTTGTTTTCTGTGTTTCACTTTAGTTATTTTAACTGTTTCGCATGATTTTGTGCTGTTGACGCCACCATATCTGTTCTTTTGTGTCCGTTGCGCGTCTGAGCTTGTCAACATTTGACGGGGCAAACATTGCTTTCTTTTCGATTTCAGGAGTGAAAAAGAGGTCATCTAGCGAGTCCTAGATCATTGCTTTGGGGAACCATTTTGGATATTTTGGGATTTGTGGTTTCCCATTGGGCCATTGGGCCTTCTCGCCAAAGCTTGGGGCCCCCCAAAAGGTCTTCTTGACCATCTATGGTAGGAACATCAAAGTCGACCAAGGACAATAGTGTTTGATGATCCTGCTTTTAAATTGAGAACCAGAAGCAAGGCAATAAAATTAGACCTTACCCTTCAATAAACTGTGCTATAGATGGCCGATTTATAGATGAATTACCCTTTAAAAACGGTGAGCTTCCAAAGCCAAATGTTAGTTTTTACCAAAGGGTAACCTGTCAAAGAAGATCTGCTATCCCAACTCCGGTGCCGTTCCAAAATTCTGCGTTCCGGCTTCCTATAGATTGACATATGATACACATGGCTATGACATCAAAACCTTGGCCTAAAATGATGAAACACATACATCCTGCCGTACGGCCAGCTTCAAGAAGGAACATGTTGATGAAGCAGCTTCTACCCAAATATCCCATGAATACCCTCTGGTTATGTCAAAATAGCTATTGAACATGGTGATTTATAGTGGATATACCCATTAAAAATGGTGATTTTCCATAGTTTTTTGTATGTTTACCAGAGGGTATCCCTTATTCCCATCATATTTCCCATGATCTTCCCATGATTAATCACCATTGATCACCATTAATCCCATCCTTACTAACCACTATGAAAATATCATAAAATATCTATTAACCACTATTAACCATTGTGAAAATATCACCATTACTATTATTCCCATGATATTCCCATTAAAAATGGAGATTTTCCATAGGTTTTTTCTATGTTTTCCATAGGTTTTCCCATGATATTCCCATGATATTCCCCAAAAATCGCTGGGATTGATGGAGATCTTCATGGACAAAAATTCCAGGCGTCCAAGTGACACTCCATCCAAGATCTGGCGGTGAACAGCGGGCAGCCGAGGTGGCGTGGTTCAGAACAGATCTGACACCACCAACTAAGAAAATATATATTTATACATGAGAATCAACATTTATATATTTTATGTACATATTTATATCATATAGAAAAACCATTTATTGTTATATATCTATAATTATTGGAAATACTTAACATATGATAAATATCAATGAACTATTTGACCTGGGTTTCCAACCACAGCTGTTCTCACGGTTGCAACCAGCGAGGGAAACGCAGGTGCAACACGTTGCGGGATGGTTATTACCCTCTGGCAGTCAAAGATGGCTGGGAAATCGTCCAAAATAGAGGTTAATAGCTGGGACAATCATCTACAAATGGGATCGTGGGCAATTTGTTTTCATTTACCATTGCCACATTTGAGCAAACCAGAGGGTGAGCCATGGAGCCTATCCGCCTATCCCATTTGGCCAAAAAAAACCTGACTGGACATGTCATCACGGTCACGGTCAACCAGCGATTCATCAATGAGTCATTCATTACTAGGCCGCTAACCCTCCATGAATCTGGCCAAATGATCACAATCTTACTGGTAATAAACGTAGGGAATGGATAGGTTTTTGGGGGTTGCTGGGATGATCAAATTGATAGTTAGCCAGTGGATCATTCCCGAAAACCCCTGCGTTGAGCACCTGTAAGCCATAATGATTGGTTTCCTAAGGTCTACCAACATCAATAAGCCATAATAATGTAGGTTTCCTAAGGGCTACCTGGCTGGTACCACCCATTCCATTTTTTGATCCATGAACATGGGGATACCAGGACAAAGAAAAATGGATGGTTGGTGGTGACTGGAACCATTAATACATGGTGATTTTCCATAATAACCATGAATATGATCATAAATAATCTATTTTTACAGTTTAGTATCCATTAATTGTATCCATTACCCTCTGGTAAATTAACATAGACCCTAAAACTAATCATAATCTTTTAGTGGAAACTAATCTTCCAACCCCGATGACTGCCAGGGTCGAACTGTTAATTTACTGGAGGGTAACCATATGTAACCATCCATGTTTTTGGGCTACCCCCATGACTATGTACCCCAGTCATTCGCCTTCAACAACTGCGACTGCAACAGCAGCTGATGGGCTGAAGAGACTGGCGCGGAACGGAGCGGCGGAGCGGCGGAGCGGCGCACCGGCTCCGGTTGGAAAGACGTAAAGAGTGATGGGTTACCCTTGGTGATTTCTGGTGTTTATGGAACAATTGTTTCTATAGTAATCTCTGAAAAATATGAAAGTCAGTTGGGATGATGACATTCCCAACTGAATGGAAAGTCATAAAAGTCATGTTTGAAACCACCAACCAGTGATAAAAAATGTGATTTTATGAACAACAATCATGGTTTTCATGGTGATTGAATGGTGATTTTACAACAAAATCGTGTGTTTTTGGGATCTAAGTGATTTAACCATGGGGATGACATGTCCTTGGTGATAAAAAAAATGATGGCTACAGTACTTCAACAATAGTGGCTTTAAAGAATAGTGGCTGTTTTTCTGTTTCAATAGGTTTTAGTGTGAGACCATGGTAATTTAACCAAGAAAAATGGGGCACAAAAATGGTGCAAATATGGCTGGGAAATGCTGGACTATGGCTGGGCATTTTTCATGGCATGAATGGCTGGGAAAGTCTTCGAACTGTTCATATACCCAACCTGGTTATGTCAACAGTTTGCGAACTGGAAGCCATGGCCCAGTCGAAATAGTGGATTTACCCAACTAGAAAATTAGGTGGATCTTTCGATAGTTCGTTATGTAAACGTTTACCAGGCCGGGTAGTTGATTTTCCAGCCATTTTTGATTGCAAATATGGTATAAGCGACAAAAATATGTGGATTTCCGTGGGTTAGATTTCTCCCTCAAGATTGGGTGTACATTTATACCATATGTATACCAACAATCATGCATGAAGGGCGTGCAAAGTTATGCTTATTGGCTTTGCTTCACCCTACTAAGTATATATAGTAATCTCCAAAAATGGAAAAGTGAAATCCGAATCTAAATCAGTGATGATTGATCATTTACGTTTGTTTACCCTCTGGTAAACATACAAAAATCTATGGAAAATCATAATTTTGAATGGGACAATCCACTATAAATGGTCATTTTCAATATCAAACTGTTAGTTTACCAGAGGGTAATCTTTTTGGGTGCATATCTACATATCCGTGTGAAAAAAACAGGGTGATCTTTGTCAATCCAATCCCCAATTTTTTCCCCCATATCCCATAGCAAACATGTGTGTTCATCCCCTACTAAAGTATGGTTTCTGGGGGGGTGTTGAATATAAATGGGAGAAGGGATTAGTTGTTTTAAGATAGGACCAAACAGGTCTTCATATGTCTTCATGAGAGTTCTGAAGAAATCCGCAAAAAAAATCTTCAAACAACCGGGGTTTTGAACACTGCTCTCGAGTGATCTTGTCATACCCTCTGGTAGTTTAAAATAGCTATTGAACATGGCCCATAGAAATAGTTGATTTACTCATTAAAAACGGAGATTTTCCATAGTTTTTTGTATGTTTACCAGAGGGTATCCCTTATTCCCATCATATTCCCATGATATTCCCATGATTAATCACCATTGATCACCATTAATCCCATCCTTATTAACCACTATGAAAATATCTATTAACCACTATTAACCATTATGAAAATATCACCATTACTATTATGCCCATGATATTCCCATTAAAAATGGAGATGTTCCATAGGTTTTTTCTATGTTTTCCGGCAATCTATCGAAGGGTCCCGGTCCCGTGGAAACCGTGGCCCACCGTTCAGCGCTTGCCGTGGAGTGCCGTTGCACGGCTGGGCCTGCCGTGGTTGCCACGGTGGATTTACCAGGCAAATGATGATCAACCATGGGTTTATTGCTGTATAATCCAAATATGATGTATGTATATCTATTTTGGGATAGTATATATATATGGTCTATGTATATATGATTGTATATATATATATTGTTTTTACCAATTTATGTTAGTAATGTTAGTATTCAACCAATTAATGATATGCCAACTGATGATATATCCATTTCTCTAATGGGGATAGGGCCCTCCTAGACATTCACCTTATCATTTTATGGCATGGACCAACTATCCAAAATTAGGGGCAAAAATTCATGGTTTATCGGTTTATCCCCGAAAAAAAGAAAAAAAATAAATGATGACGTATCCAGATATTTACCACAAAATGATGATAAACCATGATAAACCATGATAAACCATGATAAACCATGATAAACCATGATAAACCATGAACCATTGGATTTCGGCTATGCCCTGTTTTCAAAGACACCCACATGGGCTATGATGATCCCAGCACTATTTGAAATCCTTATCAGTTCGCCACTATAATTTGTGTTTTCAGGGTGGTATGACCCTGCATAACGATCCCCCCCAATGTGGATATGCCATGACACAAAAACCGATCGATCGTGAGATCTGCACATGGCTGCCATGACTTCTCCCCCCAAAAAAAGAATCTGCCAAATAGTTTTAACACTGGGTTAAAAACTAATGGGGTTATGGAAAAAAACTATGATAACGATTATGGTTTAGTATAACTATTATAACTTTAAGCCAAACAGTTATAAAACTGGAATTCGTATAACCCCGACATTCCATACATGGCTCAAGGATTTCCATGTAGTGAATTAACTGCTTTCAAGCCGTTGGTTAACCCATTCGCCGCATATTCCCTTCCCAACGAAAAACCGAATCGTGGATTTCTCAGTCCATAAACCATGCCATAAACCATGCCCAAAACCATGCCCAATGTGTATAAATTGAGTTTATGCATGGTTTATGGATGGTAAAAAACTATTCAAATAATCCAAACTCATGCCCAATTTTTATCATCCCAGGTTTATGAAATTGGTTGAAATTGGGTGTACCTCTATGACTTGGATGATCCAAATGGCTAGCGGCTAGTCACAACACGACTTGGGATTCAAAATGCACCCCAGTGAAGGTTGATTGCATAATACTCTCTGGTAAACATACAAAAAACTATGGAAAATCTCCATCTTTAATGAGTAAATCAACTACTTCTATGGACCATTTTCAACAGCTATTTTGACATAACCAGAGGGTAATGTGGCCGGAAAATCCATTTAACGATGATTTTCCCAGCGAACTACCCAAACCTCGAGTCGTGTCGGCTATTGCGGATGTCCAAAATTGCCAGCCACGGAGCTCTCCATGACACCATGGCTAGGGTAAATCCCACAATAAAATCCCAGACTGTCCCAAGTGTATCCCGAACAAAATCCCTAGTGTTGTTGAAGTTAAAGCTCCATGACTTCCATGATTATTATCACAATTAAATCCGCATTAAATTCCCATCTTTGGTTAGTTAAAACTCAGTAAATCCACTTAAATCACATTCTCCACAAGTTTTTTCTTAATTTTCGCGTTGCCTCAAAGTCTTCTTTGTACAGTTGTCGAGCACATCGGCGCTGGAACAACTCCGCCGCATCCTGATGCGGAGGCGTCGCACCACCAGGGTGGTTTTATGGCTAGCCGAGACCAACAATTGACTCATAAAAATTGTTTTGTTACCCAAAAAGATGTAGTACTTATATAATCTTATATAATAACTTATAATCTTTTCGGGTCTAGGATGGTCTAGGTGTCTTCAAAAAAAAAGAATGGAGCTATGACACGCTTTGATGAAGAAGGCGGGCCTTCGAAAATGAACACCGCATGATAGTCCACGTTTCATGGTTTTATCATGTTTAATCTATAAATAGGTTCCAGAGGGCTTATAGATGTTTATAGTGGGCCCCAAGAGGCCTGGCATTCTGTAGTGGAAATTCTGACACAAAGGGCTTTGGTAGATGATTAACATATGATTAATGATATTAATAGATGGTATACCCACATGATTAACAGATGGCTTCATTTTACCCTCTGGTAAACATACAAAAAACTATGGAAAATCACCATTTTTAATGGGAAAATCCACTATAAATGGTGATTTTCAATAGCAAACTGTTAAATTACCAGAGGGTAATCCAACAAAAATCCCCACGTAACGCACTGTCATAGGTTCATCAGCCCATCCCCCCACGGGCCCCACGAGAAAAAATGAAGTCCTCGCTGGGAAGCGTTGCGAGTTCTTCCAAGACGATTTTGCTATGCTCCAAGCTGTCCCAGCCGCCTGTGCCATATCATGGTACCATGTTTTAGAGGGAGAAACCGGAGAAACCCACGTTTTAGAGATCGAAAAACAAAGAACTCATGTGGGTAAAACAATGCCATGTTTACCATCCCCCAATTTCACCATTTTTATAGGTGGTATGTTTACCATTCCCGAATGGTGGTTTATGGATTGTATGGAATATTATATATATGTATATATATATGGATTATTTTTATATATGGAATATATCTGGATTATATATGGATTATTTTTATATGTGGAATATATCTGTCTGGTTGGTGGTATACCTACCCCATGATGACATTCCAAATAGATGGAAAGTCATAAAATTCATGTTCCAAACCACCAACCAGATATGTATGTAATATATCCCATTATTTGCTGGCGATTCCCCATGGTATCCCAATCATCCAGCTCATTGTTATCCCACCTCCCAAAGCACAGCGTGAGGTCAGCAGCACACGCAGGGACTCCAAAAGTCTTAAGGCACCTGGCGTAGAAATTTCGACGACCAGCAGGGATTGGTTAAAAAAAGGGAAAATCTTCACCGGAGGCCCATGGTTTTTACCATGAAATCTAGGGGTTTCCTATAGATTTTCCCGTGAAAACCAATCCAATGAATAGAGCAGCTCTTTGAGTGCGGTGTAGCATGAACATGATTTATCACATTTTTTTTAAAGTAACTACATAATTGATGGTCAACATTATATATAGATACATATAGATACAGTATTCATATACTACATTCATGATATAATATAATATATAACTATCTTCAATTCATAACATAAAACATCATTATATATTCAGATTCTTTCATATTGATATTTTAGGACAGCTGTTTGAACATTGGAAGTTCTTGCCCCCCGTACCAAAAGCTGATGCGTGAAGTTTAAAGGGACAATCTTAATCGGAAAAACCATGATTTGGACCAGCAAAATCATGGAGGGTTCCTGATTTTCCTTCCAAAGCTCGAAGAAATAGAGATGGGTATAACTGGGGTATGAGTCAAAAAAAACCCTGAGACCCTCGGTACTCGAACAAAAAACTGGTGAATGGATGTGTATTTCCCCATGGTAATGAGTTTTGACCCATCCCGCTGGCTGGATACCGAAGAACAACCAGCTGATGGAATGCTGGAATTCAGACTGTTCAGCATATTGCAATGATTCTGGGAATATAAATCCTGAATCACACTTAAATCAATCAGCAAAGATGAAAAACAATAGGAGCACAACTTTCTTACCGGGAGTTTACACTATACGTATATATATATATATATCACATGTATCTGTATGTGTATATCGCATACTTCAATAGAATTTCAGGCTTTCCAACATTTCTATCTGGGGGCATTTTCAAAGCCGGCTGCGAGCCGGCTGTTGTTCATCCCCAAACGATTGTTGAAAAAAAGGGGGGGTACCATGTAGCTATCAGATCATGACTATTGGGGAAGTACCCCCCTAGTTAATCTAGTTAATAAACTATGGTTTATTGATCCGGGGTTGACATTACATGGTGATAAACTATGCTAAATTATAATGATTCACCAAGCTGAAGAGTTGGGTCAGTTCCGTATACTAACCATCATTCCAGTCTGGTGGCGGTGACATCTTTAGCATTTACCCGGGTTCATGTTGTTTGGACTTGTGCAGTCATCAAGAATTACCGGCAGAACACTAAAAATCCATAATAGCATTATATATCATTAGATCATCTTTATCAGATATACTCTATGGATCCATGGCCACTGTCTGAAAAGGTACAGCCGTACTTCCTAAGAAGGTACGGCTGGCTCCATAGGCTTTTGACTACATCAGATCACTGATGCTGATGTTAAGGTCCGCACGCGTAAGGGATATGTGAATTTCCACCCAAGCAATAGGCTACAGTACCGTACCAGTACCGTACCCCAAAAAATACACTCGAAAATTCCAGCATCAAAAATTGCCATGTTTAGGGAATACCTGAATACCCAAGTGCATCAAAAAACTGCCAGTTCACCATGAATTCGCCCAACAAAAAGGACCTTCCAAGGCCAATCGGAGCTCATGTTTCTCCACCTCCTCCAGACAACTGAGAAAACCTCCAACGATCCGAGGGGGCAGGGTGCCTCCAGTAAACTAAGAAGTAGCTAGGGAATGCGAGGGAAAATTGGATTTTTTTTAGATGATTCATAGATGATTCATAGATTATTTACCTATCAAAAATAAGATGTTCCATAGTTTTTTGTGTGTGTACCAAAGGTTATAAAGCTATGGGAACAACCATGCTGATCACCTCCAATCAGGTTGGGATAGAACCTCCAATCAGGCTTCCGGAGGATCGTCCCCAAACAAAATAGACGCTGCAGTTTGGCCAACGAACAGTCATAGCTATTGAAAATGGCCATTTAGTTCGTGGATTTACCCATTAAAAATGGTGATTTTCCATAGTTATGTAAAAGTTTACCAGAGGGTAACATATTATAACTACTATAACTAAGGTGAAAAATAAGTTATATATCCATATATTGGGGGGGCCCCTGGACAACCATTCTTTACAGCTCCTAAAACGTGTTTCGCAACGGTTTTTCCACATTTCAAGGGTTCATTCAATTTTTCCACACTTTAAGGGGTCCATTTTCCACATTTCAAAGGTTCATTTTCCACATTTCCAAGGCCGAGTTTCCACGTTTAAAAAGCGATTTTTCCACACTTTAAGGGGTCCATTTTCCACATTTCAAAGGTTCATTCTCCACAATTCCCGGGTTCATTTTGCACATTTCCGAGGCCGCATTTTCCACATTTCAAAGGTTAATTCCAGGATTCATTTTCACATTTCCAGGGCCGATTTTTCACATTTACAAGCTTGTTTCCATAGTTTTTTCTGTGTGTAGCAATGGTTATAAAGCTATGGGAACAACCATGCTGATCACCTCCAATCAGGTTGGGATAGAACCTCCAATCAGGCTTCCGGAGGATCGTCCCCAAACAAAATAGACGCTGCAGTTTGGCCCAACGAACAGTCATAGCTATTGAAAATTTAGTTCGTGGATTTACCCATTAAAAATGGTGATTTTCCATAGTTATGTAAAAGTTTACCAGAGGGTAAAGTTTACCAGAGGGTAACATATTATAACTACTATAACTAAGGTGAAAAATAAGTTATATATCCATATATATATATATCCTACTATAATAACTAGTTGGTGAAATAGATCATGAAATAATCCCCCAAAAGAAATGACTGTTCGTTGGGCCATAACTGTGTAAATCATGGGACTTTTTAGATAGGGATAAACATGGAATTTCACCAGCAACTGGTGCGGGATGTCGCAAGCATCCACAGTAACAACACTGTATCAACCAAAATAACCTGGCCTTGGCTAACAAGTTGATTTTATATCCACTGGCGGGCGGTTGAGCCACTTTTCTCAAACATATTCAAACAGATGAACAGTGATTCCTATCTGAAAGGTTGGTTTTGAAGTAACTAAATGCGAGATATATTCTGACACATACACTTGGTTGACCCAGTTTGTGTACCCGCTGTTTCTCTTACTGCTGTAAATGCCCTTGTTTTGTTGGGATTGACCCACTGGTTAACCCAACTAAGTGTGGATATATATTCCATATACCCAAGTTCCGTTCACCTATGTTTCACCAACTGAGCCACTGAGCCATTAAACAAAAAACCTATCCCATCTCATGAAATACCAGTGGGTTGAAAACGCTTTTGACAATGTTTTCCCAATCCTATAGCTTGTCATAATACCCAATAAATTAGCTAGTATAAGTCTGGTTGGTGGTTTGAACCCCTCTGAAAATATATAAAAGTCAAATGGGATCATCATCCCAACTATTGGGGAAAATAAAATTCAGGTTCCAAACCACCAACGAGTCATCTATTAATCATGTGGGTATACCATCTATTAATCATCTATTGATCATCTATTAATCATCTATTAATCATCTATTAATCATCTATTAATCATATTTTAATCATCTATTAATCATCTATTAATCATATTTTAATCATCTATTAATCATCTATTAATCATAATTTATACCACCAACGAAGTATAAGTTGTATCAGTCCCAAGAAATTGACCCATCGTCCCATGGCTTCGAACGGCTCCTGGAAGATGTGAAGATCGTCGATCACCAGAAGAGAGAGCCTCGAGGTCAGCGAGGTCAGCGAGGCCAGCGAGGTCAGCGATCGGTGGATCATGTGAAATAAATCCTTGGATTTTTGGTGACTACCCTCTGGTAAACACTAACGTAGCTAGTGAAAATGACCATTTCTAGTGGATTTTTCAAAAATGGTGATGTTCCATAGTTATGTTAGTTTACCAGAGGGTATATTGGTGAAATCTATGTTTTGTTTTTTTTAAAAAAAAAACTATTAATGATATGACCAAGTTGCATTTGGATGTTAAATCTTCAAAAATAGTTCTGAAACAGTTCCGATGTTCATGTTTCATTGGGTTTGAATCTTTGATTCTGATTTATTTTAATATTCCCCAAAAAAGGGACCCAGTTTAGTGACTCACAAATAGGCCACTCTTAGGATCTGAACCGTCTGGATGCCCAAAACTTGGGTCCCAATGCCATAACCTTACCATTTGGGGATGGTTTATAGCACCCATGAAAATGGTGATTTTCGGCCTGGTTTATGACATTGGGTTTCCCACATTTGGGGAAACAAATGTGATAAATCATAAATTCCGTGCATGTATCCACCTTGGACCGTGCCACACCGAACACCCAGCGGCTAAAAAGGGTGTATATCAGCCATCCGTTTTTGGTGTGGATATGTATTGCTGGTTGGTGGTTTCAACCTACCCCTCTGAAAAATATGAATTCGTCAATTGGGATGATGACATTCCCATATACTATGGGAAAATAAAAAAATGTTCCAAACCACCAACCAGTATATATATATACACACACCAGACAGCCATCCAGAATACGAGTAAATCGGTTTAAGCCAGTTCCAAACACCTTCCGGTTAAGAACCGGCTCATGACCATGGCCATGGGGGGCATCTATAGCTCGCCGGACCAATGGAAATGCATCTGTGTACAACTTAACCTTTTGATATCCTTTTATGAATGGTGAGTAGGACGCAATACAGCCTAACTGCAAAGATGATATAACTATAATAATCTATGTTGGCAATATGTATACGTATATATATACATACATAACTGGTTGGTGGTTTCAACCCCTCTGAAAAATATTAATCAGTTGGGATGATGACATTCCCAATATATATGGGATAAATAAAAGCCATTTTCCAATATTTTCCAAACCACCAACCAGTACATATAGTTATAAATGGTGAAAGCCGAGAGGCTGTGGGTTACACCCGTGTTCCAGCCGCAATATCATTCTTGGTTGTTGTATTCTGGGGTACCATGTAATAGCAGAGCAAGCCCTTCCAGTTCTCTTCAACCAGAGTTTCTCAATCCGAGGTGGACACGTTCAGGGTGCTATTCCCAAAGATGTTTCACGGAGACCAAAAAGGACAGTCGAACTTGACTTACCATCTGGTTATGACTAACAGTTTGCAATGGAAAATCACCATGCTATTAAGTTCGGTAAACCATCTATTTCTATGGGCCATCTATACCATGGCTATGTTAGTCATAGCCAGAGGCTAAATGTTGTTGGTCATGGTGAAATTTGGTACCCCCAAATGCAATGGACCATTGGTTGATCATCAAATGATGGCAAAACAAAACTCCAGAGAGGATCCCAAGGGGAAATCATTGATGAATTATCGCTTTTCCATACTTTTCCCATGAAAAATATGGCAATGTTCGGGAGATCCCTAGGCCCTATCCCACCGTCTCAGCACCAGCTGCACCGTGTCTCAGACTCCCACCCTTGACCCTGGACCGTGGTGGAGATCTCCGTCAATGCCTCCCATGTGGGCAAAATTAAGAGCAAAAAACATCCCATGCGGGCAGATGCCTGAAAGGCATACCCTCTGGTAAACATACAAAAAACTATGGAAAATCACAATTTTTAATGGGAAAATCAACTATTTCGACTGGGCCATTTTCAATAGCTATGTTAAATTACCAGAGGGTAAGAGATTGCTGGAAAAAAACTCAACATCCCATCATTGGAGTACTATCCCTCGGCATCAGCAACATGATTCTGGAGAGAATCAACAACCCAACCAAGCGAGAAAATTAAGATATGACAAAATCAGCAACCCAACCATAGAGGATCTTCGATTTCAAAGCTGGATTTAGCCCAGAGTGGACCAACCAAAATTGGATGGAACCCAATTCATCTTACCACTGGGATGTTCGATGGGATGCTTTACCCAACTTTCTATGCAGTTGCAAAACCATCACGATTCAATGGTTTTGTAGTCATGATTCAACCCAAATAATGTCAACCCTGGATTAATAAACCCCTAGGCTGTTTAATTGGGAGGGTACCATTTAAGTATTAGATTATGACTATTGGAGGAGTACCCCCCTAATTAATAAACCATGGTTTATTAATCCATGGTTGACATTATACATTGGACTTACCTAGTTGCATTTGGAACTTAGCCACTTATCTGAGTCCATGTGAAATACCTTGCAGCGATTGGATTATGTGAAATTCACTTTGAATTTTAGTTAACTTGAGTTCCGATTTTCATTCCAAGTCCAAAGATTTCTCGAACTTTAGCATCTTGAGCAGTTCCACGGATTCAGTATCATCCCAAATCAAAATCTGGTTGGTGGTTCAACCCCTCTGAAAAATATGAGTCAGTTGGGATGATGGAAATTCATAAAATTCCATGGTTCCAAACCACCAACCAGTCATCGATGAATTCCTGTGTTTCCCCATTTGTGATGGTGAACTATCAATCCACCAAAATACCATCTGGTAATGACGAACCGTTTGCAAACTGGAAAATCACCATTTCTACCCTCTGGTAAACTAACATAACTATAGAAAACCACCATTTTTTATGGGTAAATCAACTATAAATGGCCATGTTCAATGGCTATGTTAGTTTACCAGAGGGTAATAGACAAATCATTGAACAAAATGAGTGTGTCTGAAAATGGGGTATACTCCTCAGTTATGGCCATTTCAGATTGGGAAAATGATGATTGACTATGGATTTGTTTGAGGTTCCCTTACATCTTGAGGAATTTATTCAAACATAATCATAGAATATCTATTATCTATGGTTTCTACCATTATCCATAGTATTCTACAATTATATCTACTATCATAGTCTATCCATAATAATACCAATAGTAATACCCATAGTCTACCCATAGTAATATCTATATTATCAGATCTACAGTGTATCCATAGAAATCATCTATATAAGTATCCAGTATCCATTATCATGGAAGCCATATTACCCTATGACCTATTGTCTACTATAGAATTCTGGAATTAAGCTTTGGCTATTTAACATAGCCATGGAAAATGGCCCATGAACATAGATGATAAACATGATGGCTTAGCGTTTGTAAACATTATGGTTTCCAGTTTGCTATGTTAAATGATCAGAAAGATTGAATCTATTATGGTATTTAACATACTGGATGATTAATTATGGTATTATGGCTTCAATTATGTGATTATACTACCATTATACTACCATTATACTACCATACTTCCTTGTGGTTTCTATACTTCTCCACATGTTCATGGCCAAAATGAAGAATTGATGTTTCGATGTCCGTTTCGGACTCAGGGGCTACCCAGTTTGGATTTCCAGTCAACCACGGATGACGATGGCTTCGAATCATCCCACTCAGCGGAGAAAAATCATGGACTTTCCATCGGATCATTGAAATATGTTCATATCATTGGGGGGTTATCTATACTGGTTGGTGGTTAATACACTGTTATATAATATATGGTTATTATATGGTTAATGATGGTATACTGTTAATATATGGTTGATATACTGTTAATAATGGTTAATATATGGTTATTATATGGTTAATGATGGTTAACAATAACCTGGTTGGTGGTGCAATCACCATCTTGAAAAATGATGGAGTTCGTCAATGGGAAGGATGACAACCCATATATGAAATGGAAAATAAAACATGTTCCGAACCACCAACCAGATTTTAATGTGGTACCTCGAAGAACTTTATCAATGCTATGTACCAAATTGGATAATCACTATAATCTATAATATCTAAATCATGCAAATATTTTGGGATATCGATGAATCATCTATAATCTATCTAAATATATAAATCATCCAGATACCCTACAATCCTCGAACAAAATATCTGGATGATTATAGAGGATTGTAGGGTGTCATTGGGGATTATCAATCCTAATCCTTGATATCATTCGGGATTATCTATATATTTCAATGTGGTACCTCTAAATCATCCTCATCCCACTTAGTAACTGGATAACCATTTGGATATAATAAAATATTGTACCTCTAAATCATCACAATTACCATATAATTATTAGCTATATTAATCATCTATTAATCATCTGTTCATCATGTTTATACCACCTATTCCTGGTGATTTGTCGGATGGTTAACCATCGATTTATACCATCTATTCATGGTTTACACCATCTATTAATCATCTATTAATCTGGTTGGTGGTTTCAACCAACCCCTCTGAAAAATGATGGAGTTCGTCAGTTGGGATGATGATTATTCCCAATATATGGAAAAACCCATTAAATTCCATTAAAATCCAGTAAACCACTAAAATCCAGTAATCATCTATGTATCATGTGGGTATACCATGTATTAATCATCACCTACCCCTCTGAAAAATATGACTTCGTCAGTTGGGATGGTGACATTCCATTCCCAACTGTTTCTGGAAAGTCATTCAAAATTCCATGGTTCCAGTCACCACCAACCAGTATATGGAATAACTATACATATATATATATATACACACACCATTTAGCCATCCATTTATGGATATTATACCATATATATAATATATACCATATATATATATATATATATAAACATGTACTATTTTCAGGATATTATTGGTATATAATCCCATTAACCAGTGATTATTAACCACCAACCATGCTATTAATCATCACTTCATACCATCTATTAATCATCTATTAATCATCTATTAATCATCTATTAATCATCTACCAAATATATTTATATCTGGTTGGTGGTTCAAAATTCCATGGTTCCAGTCACCACCAACCATGGTATACCAGTGATTATTAACCATTAACCATCATTCACCACTATTATTGGTATATAATCCCATTAACCAGTGATTAACCACCAACCATGGTATTAATCATCTATTATACACACACCATTTAGCCATCCATTAATGGATATTATACCATATTTATATAACTATTTTCAGGATGATTTAACCATGGTATTAATCATCATTAATCACCAGCCAAAACCCTGCCAAAACCCTGCGTCGCCTGGCGCAGGAAATCCTCCATCGAGCCGCCGGCCGTGTTGGCTGCGCCTCGCAGGACCTGCCATGGCAGCGCTGCGGGGATCAGAAATTGGACGGGTGAAACGGTGAAACCACGAGAATATGGGTGGTTTACCGTGGGAAAACGTGGTTTTTACCATGGAACATGTGGTTTTAATCATGAAAAATGCGGAAGTATCAATGGTTTCCACCGGGATCATCCCGATCTGGAGCCGTAGAAACGAGGTGGCGAACACTGTTTAATGGAAATGATGTATGCTACATTTACAAACATGTATTTACAATTAAATATATATATATATTAGTTGATACATGCATACATAGAATCCATATATATATATAATATATATATAGATTATATAGTATATGATCCGAACTAATCATCAAGCAACAGGGGTTTTGGTTTCAGTAGATCCCATGAGTTTCCCCTGGCTGCCTGGCTCTGCAGGAACAGCACACGGCCGCCAAAGAGACGCCCCGGCCCGCTGAAGTGGTTGCAGAACTCCCGGCCTCGGCGGAGAAATCGGATTTCACCAGGTCGAGACGACCATGGGGAAGTACCCGGCCTGGTGATATTAACCATTATTAATGGGCAAATCAACTATTAATGGGATGGTAGTGGGTTATGATAATTGACACCCCCTGGTAATAATGGTTAATAGTGGTTAATAGATGTTAATAGTGGTTAATAAGGATGGGATTAATGGTGATCAATGGTGATTAATGGTGATATAACCTCTGGTCAACATACAAAAAACGATGGAAAAATCCCCCAATTTTCATGGGAAAACTCACTATTTCAATGGCCATTTTCCATAGCTTTTTGTATGTAAAAACCAGAGGGTACCTATCCAAATATGGATTGAACTATCCCAGACATGTCGACATTTTGATCATCCGATTTTTTGGGGATTTGACCATCAAACCGAGTATTTCAACGATCCAACAAGGGGATCTACTACCCAACCAAATCTGGGGATCATTGAGTTCATCCAGCTAAATGGTGAGTTCACCTTCAGGATGAGGCCCCCAGTCGATAGCGTGAACCGTTGGTTTATAAGTGGATGAATTCTATGGTTTATGCTAGATATAACGAACTAGTTAATGGGGATTGTAATGGTTTATAAACCAACTTATAACTGGGGGGCCCCATCCTGTTCAGAAATCCCTTAGTTTTGCCAGTCATTGAACCCATTGAATGTTGATTGGGTGTCCGGTGTCCTGTGATTTTCAGAGAGATTACCAGCAGATTTACCACGTTTTCCAACCCAAGAGCAGTAAGGGTTCCAAGGTTCCATTCCGGTTTTGAGTGCCCTGCAATCCGTGATGCACTAGTGTCAGATCAAGAGTTTGAAACCCAACAAGCACTGCTTTTGGAAATTTCGCAAATAAGGTTGATGGGATCTTCAAAAAACTACTAACACATAGCTTTAAGTGCAAATAGTGTGGTAAACCATGGTAAACCCAATGCCATAAACTTATCATCTGGGGCTGATTTATAGCACCCATAACCCATCGATTTCCACCAACTTTTGAATTGTCTCAGAATGGGAAAACAACACAGCCACAATAGGGATATAATGGGAAAACAAAAACAGTGTAAATGTCCCACAGCCATGGAACAATGCGAGTGGGTTTGCACCAGAGAAAAATATAAAGAAATGAGATGATTGTTGTAGAGGATCAGCGCATCCAAGCATCGAATCCAAGACAGCTGTCAGTCCCGTCCGCAATTATGCTCGAATGACAGGTTATACAATGTAAGGGCACAAGGTACCGAAATAGTCATCATCGAATCAATTTGAATGCTATGTAGCCATTATGATCAATTACGCTGGTAGTATGTTTATATTTATGTTGCACGTTTTTCTATGCACTACAGCCAAAATTGAGTGACATTTGCAACCTATGATATTGCATCATACAGGGACAGGGATTATCATATAAAAATATATAATATCAAACTAGTGATACTGTATTTACAATCATATCGCGCATATTATGAATTTGACTGAGATTAGGGCACCCTGAAACTTAATCGTTTATCATCATATTCCCTATTAATATGACCAAATTTCCTATGATGTTGGTCATATTCCCCCATATATATATATATGTAATATATCCCATTATTTGCTGGCGATTCCCCATGGTATCCCATTCATCCAGCTCATTTGCCCATTGAGCAGTGTGAAATAAATCCCTCTGTCATTCCATTCTACTGGTTGGGTAATAGGGCAATAGGGGTTCCAGTGGATTCTAATCCCCAGTATATCCAGGGTAGCATAATCTCCCAACTAATCAACCAGGCATCATTCAGCAATTACGAAATTATATCATATCATCTCCACTTAACATCACTTAACTATCTTAACTTATACCCTCCGGTAAACTAACATAGCGATCGAAAATCACAACCTTTAATGGGTAAATAAACTATAAATGGACCATTTTCAATAGCTACGTTGACATTACCAGAGGGTATAACAAAGATCACTTGAGCAGTGTTCAAAACCCCGGTTGTCATGTATTGTATCCAGTTAAGTTATATCCATCAACATGATCATATCCGCTTCACTTATATCCCTATAGTTTCATGCTTCAAAATCTATCCTTAATATCTAAAATATCATCCAGTTAAATGGATATAATACGTGATATACACGACAACCGATATAACTATATATATAACTATATTATACAACTACTATATATATATATATCCAGTGAACTTATATCCTCCACCAACTTTGCTGGGTTCCCCCAACAGGTGGCCGTCTTCCCAGCGCCCGGTGCACCCAGCAACAAGATGACCTTGCTACCAGAGATGGTCCAACGTTGTAGGGGATTTCACCAACCGACAAATGTGTTTTTTTTTTGAAAAAAAACTGATTTAATGGTGATTTAATAGGATTTAATGGGGATTTCATGGGAATTATAGCAGTTTTAATCGAGATTTTATTGGATTTTTCAGATTTAGCGCTGATTTTTCTATGATAGCTAAGTTGCTTTCTAGAATTTTGACGGGATGACGCATGGCCATAAATCCCTATGTTTCATGCGAGAAGAACAGCAGCTTATATCCCCTTTCAGGGACCAGGAAAATCATGAATCATTGGATTTTCAGCATGGATATCTGGATATATCTGGGATATATCTGGATGTTTCATTGGATATATCTGGATGTCACGAAGAAAAATGGTGGTATAGTGGGTAGGCATCCCAAATATATATATATATGTTGCTTAATGAACCATAAATCCATTGTTATTTTTCAGGTTATATCCACGGACAAAGCTTGGAAACAAATTGCATATATCTGGATATTTCATGGGATGTAACCATGAAAAATGGTCATTTAACCAAGAATTTGTAAAAAAATGGCTTCCCCAACAGAATGCTGAAAAATGTGAAACTAGGATTGTTCCCGTAGTTTCCATGTGTCAAACGAGTCTTTTTCTTGGGGGGGGTTTGGGGTGGGGGGGGTGCTACAGGGTACAAACCCCATGATATCTGTGATATAATGATATATCATGGAGGTATAAGAGACATATACACATAAGAATGTATTGGAGACATATGATCAATGTCCATTTCAGGAACCGATTTATTGGAGGTACCGATTCCATATATAAGGCCTATATATATCAGGGCTAAATTTCAGGGGATATACCACCAATTCATATGGCTAGCTCCATCAATTTAGGATCCTGGAGATCTCCCATTGAGATGACCGGATTTCATATGCAAAGTTACCCTCTGGTAATTTAACAGTTTGCTATTGAAAATGATGATTTATAGTGGATTTACCCATTGAAAATGGTGATTTTCCATAGTTATGTTAGTTTACCAGAGGGTATTTGTTCTTAATCTCAAGAGCTGGGTCCCCATCAGGTTGGCGATAACATTGGATGATCCCGAAGAATGTGGTGCATTTGGTGCATTTGGTGCATTTGGAGCCTCCGTGGGGCACCATCATTTTGACCCATAACCCTATGAAAAAATAAAGGCATTGAGAAAAGAATGGTCAGAAACCATGCTTCCAGGCTTGCTACCCCCCATTGTTACACCAAGAAGAAAATCAAAGCACCTACCTATTGTCCACTCAACCCTTATGATCTGTTTGTGAAAGCTTTATAATCTTTCGACTTCATCGCAAAAATCTATCGTAAAATTGGGATTTTCATCCCTTATCTCCTGTGTGACTCTGAAATCAATGGCAGCCATTTTTATGGCCGTACGTTCATCCCACAGGAAAGGCGACAGGCTCATCGGGTCCCAGTTCGGCTACATCCCCCTGGAGATCAAGAGAAACATTGGGTGTCTGGGGTCTACTCTCGCTTTCTGATCTTATAGCTTACAACTGATATGTATATAATACAATATAAGTGATATATTTGATATATATATATATACAAAATATAATTGATCGAATATTACAACTGATACATATCAATATAATATACAATTTTATATATTTGATCTATACATATCTCCCCACGGATCCCCACGGCAATGTTCCTCATGTTCACCACCACCTTATTGGTGGATATTACCAACCAACCTAACCAACCCAACCCAAACCAACGAAGAACCAACCAAACAAATCTATTCAAATCTATTCAAATCTCCCATGATTCGCTGATACTTGTCCAACTCGACACGCAAATCATACCAAGTGACCCTCCGATGTCCATCCGCGTTTGACAGGCATTTGGCCATGCGGACCATCTGAGTGACCTGGGACGATAGCAAACGAGAGCAGATTTTATGGTGGTTTTCTAGGTCCCGGGCTACCCCAAAATCAAAAGCGTTCCCCCCATCAAACATGACCCATGTTACGATATGTTAGGATGATTTGCAGGTGCCCCATCCCATCTTGACATTCAAACAGCCCCCGGCCTGACATCGAAAGTCCTCGACCCGCGAGGTCCGTGGCCAGACCCACGGCCGATCGGCCAGGGCTGACCGTGCTCTCACGTCCTGCAGGTTTTGTCCATTGCCATGTTTGATTGCCGGAAGGTATAGCAAACCCCAGAAGAT